CAGTGTTTTCCTTGCTTTTCTCTGCTTCTATTTCATTGTTGCTATTTGTGTGTGTGTTTTCTAATACTTTTATACGTTTTCTTTTTTGTTGCATCGTATGTGTTATTTTTTGTTGCATCATGTTGTTTATTGTTGCATCATATGTTTTATTTTTTGTTGCATCATGCTGTTTTTTGTTGCATCATGTTGTTTTTTGTTGCACCGTATGTGTTATTTTTTTTTGCATCTTGTTGCATCTTGTTGCATCGTGTTGTCTATTGTTCTTTATTAATGATTTTGATTTTTTTCTATTTACATTTATATTTACACTTTAGAGATTTGGAATAAATCTCTGCTTCTATTTCATTGTTGCTATTTGTGTGTGTGTTTTCTAATACTTTTATACGTTTTCTTTTTTGTTGCATCGTATGTGTTATTTTTTGTTGCATCATGTTGTTTATTGTTGCATCATATGTTTTATTTTTTGTTGCATCATGCTGTTTTTTGTTGCATCATGTTGTTTTTTGTTGCATCGTATGTGTTATTTTTTGTTGCATCTTGTTGCATCTTGTTGCATCGTGTTGTCTATTGTTCTTTATTAATGATTTTGATTTTTTTCTATTTACATTTATATTTACACTTTAGAGATTTGGAATAAAAAATCAGATATTGCTACATATGAAAACACCTAAAATGATATATTTAGATTTATGAATAAACAAAAAGAATCATGAAGAAGCAAAAGTAATTAAAAAGTTATCAACAAAAATAAACACAAAGAAACAATATGCAACAAAAGTAGCACTTTAATGATAATAATAATAAAATGATTATATTTATATGTTCGAGGTTTGCATATTTTACATGCTTTTATGATTTTTAAAAACTCAAAGAATCTTATTTTGTATTTTTATATTCTTTTCTACAATTATTTTATAATTTTTTGAATATTTTCAAAGTTCATATATTATTTTGAGTTTTTCTTTTATTTTTTACAAATATCAGAATTTGTATTATTTATTTTTTTACAATTGTTTTTAGTTTTTACTAATTTTTTGTACTTTATTTATCTTAAAATTTATAAATTTGTATTTTTGAACGATTTAAAAAAACAGTATATACTGTTTTTTCAAATATCTGGTAATTCATATAACTTTATCTATTTTTGTTAATTTTATAATTTGTTTAGATATAGATTTTTTTACCCTTTTATAAAGTTTTAATTATTTTCATATTTTCTTTTTTTTTCTGAAAAATATTTCATTTTATTTTTATTTTTTATGTTTTAAATTTTAAGAATTACAATTCACACGAATATAAAAGTTTCATGTTTTAACACATTAATATTTTCGGAAATAATATTTTTCTTGTTTTTCATTATTTCAGAGGTTGAATAAATTTAACACATGGTATATTTCTTTGTTTTTTTCTTTTATTGAAAAGAAAAAAATAAGTTACTCTTTCAGAAATTTACCATCAGTTCTCATGTATTCTAATATTTTAAATACATTTTTATCCTTTTTACCTATATTTTTATAAACTTTTTAAATTTCAGGTATTTATATTTATAATTATATAAACTTACAAGTTTCCCTTCTTTTGTGTTTTTTCTTATTAATTTTTTTCTTTTATACATTTGTCGAAAACTTATATTGTTTATTTTTTTATTTTATAGACAAGGAAAATATAAGTTACTCTTTCATAAATTTACCATCAGTGTTCATGTTTTCTAATATTTTAAATACATTTTTTTAATCCTTTTTACCTATATTTTTATAAACTTTTTAAATTTCAGGTAGTAATAATTATATAAACTTATAAGTTTCCCTTCTTTTGTAATTTTTCTTATTAATTTTTTTTCTTTTATACATTATTGAAAATTCAATAAATTATTTACAATTTGTATTATTTTATACATTTTTTAATATGTTGTTATCTTTTTATCCCTTTTACAGTTTTAGTTGTTCTCATGATTTTCATAATTCAAAATTTGTTGAGTTTTTTATTTGTTTTTCATGTTATACGGAGTATATTTTTTTTAGTTAGGAACATTTATACGGAGCATAGAGAGCTCCGTAGCTCAAGAATAAAAGTTGGTGGTTCTTCCCACTGCAATGCCGGACTCAGTAACGTGCAGCCGCTTGAGTGAGTTAAGTGACTTAAGTCTACTTTTGAAAGAATAAACATACGCTAGCCTATTTTTGAAAACAAAAATGAATGGTGACAAAAGTGATATTAATTTCACTTTTTGCCTATTTGTGAAAAATTCCCTAAAAATTATTGGACTAGTTGAGATGATTAGTGGGCCTCTTTTGAATGATATCTAGCCCGCGTCGATTTTAGTGAGCTGCTCGTGATGGTTGGTGGGCCTTATCAAGAAGAAAATAGTGATATGGATTTCTTGGGATAAAATTTATTAATTTAATTAATTTGGATCATTCGAATTATCCAATTAATTTAATTATAAATTAAATCTTTAAAAGAATGGATCGGTCCTATTAATCTTGAGTCCATTATCAAATAACGGCCTAATATATAAGAGACATGATCCAATTGATAAAGAGGTCAACGAATCTGGCCAAGAAATCCTTCCATATGCATGGAAAATAGCTATGAACCTTGTTAAAAAAGCTGTCCAAATACATCGGACAAATCCTGATTTTTCTAGCTATTAAAATGCAACCAAATAGAGCCCGAAGCCCATTTTAATTAAGGCCCAAGGTATATGGACGAATTTCTGCAACCCTAGGCCACATTTTCACCCCCTCCACACCTATAAATAAGGGTCTCAGATGAGAGGAATGGAGGAGAACTTCCAGACGAAGAAACGCTGCAGCAAAGCTCTGAAGAACTCCCGAAAGGCTCTGAAGGATTCCGAAGAAGAGGAAGAGATCAAGCAACGTTTTTGTCAAGAATATATGAATAATCCTTTGTGATTTCATCGATTCTTGATCAAACAAAGCCAAAAGTTGAAGAACGTTCGAAGATTTGAAGAACGAAGCTTGAAGATTCGAAGATCTGAAGAACGAAGCTTTGAAGATTCGAAGATATGAAGAACGAATCTTTGAAGATTTGAAGATATTCATATGAATATTGAATCAATATTCAATTGAAGATCAAGCCATATATCCCGGGAAGCCCTTTAACAGAAGATCAAGCCACATAACGGCCCTTTTGTTGAAGATCAAGCTACTTGAAACCGGAGGCCCTTCAATATTGAATTTTGCATTCAAGAAGATTTGAAGATCTGAAGAACGAAGTTCGAAGATTCGAAGATCTCAAGAACGAAGATTCGAAGAATTGAAGAACGTTCGAGTTTTTGAAGAATTAAAGATTTAATTTTTAATTAAATTCTTTAATTATATTCATATCAAATTGCAATTGAAGAATCAGAGGATTCATATTTAGAGATTGTACCCAATATTCTCACATATTATTATTTGCGATCAATTTTAAGTAAATACTTAAAATTTGTTTCACAAAGACATTTATGGTTTGACATAAAATATCGCATTATATGAGACTATTATGTGAGTTTACATAATGTAATTACATTGCGTAAAAAAGTTACTGTCACGTTTTCATCTGATTAACCGTTACAACTCTAATCTCATTTTATTAGCAATCATATCATTCATTCAGAGTCAATTCATACAAAATTTTAGTGTATGTACAAACTGATCATTAGAAAAGCGCCACCCTAGTCTACTCTGTATTCTTTTGGAATTTGGATTATACTCCGTATATAATTTCATTATTGCTAAACTCATGTATCTATACTTCAATTTTCCTTTTAAAACGTTGTTAATTTCACCAATTCATTGATTTCATTCTAAATTGCCAAACACGCAGTTCTGGACGGTCAACTACACGGATGCATGGATACTATACGTCCATACTAGTACTGTACTACGAATAAAAAGAGTTAGAGTCGGGCTTGACTTCACTGAAGTGCTCATGCCTTGTTATCTGATTGAGTTTCTGTAATCTTGAGTATTTCCAAATTTTATAATCATGTCATACACTAGCAAGTCTGGAGCAATAATGGTATTATTTGGTCAGATCCATGTTGAATTTGCAAAACAGCTAATATTAGTATATGGATCCCAAATACCCCGATCCATCCAGATCAAGAGCAGTTGTGTAACCAAACTGAATGTATATTATATACAGACACAGGTTGGTATAATGTCCCGGAACTGGGATCGAATCGGGATCACCCAGTTTTGAACCCGAACCGGAAAATAAGGTTCTAGTTCGGGGCCGGGACCAGAATCGGACTGGGGGGAAAGAGCTCCTGGTCCCGGGCCTCCAATTCTTTTTGTTCTTTTGCTATTATATAATTTATATCATTCGAAAACATTTCATGAGGGACCAAGATCCATTTAAAATCTTAAAAGAGGTGTAAATGGGGGGTGCATAGGGCACTAGAGGGTTTAAAAGTGTATTAAAAAATAAAAGTCCAGAACCGAAACCGGGACCAATTGGGACCGGAACCAAGACTAGCCCGATTGGGACCAGAACTAGGACCGGGACTGGGAGCTCGGGACCGAATGAGAAACGGAAATAAAGCTTTTGGTCCCAGTGCATATATTTTTTCAATGACCTGCCGGTCCGGGACCAAAACCAGCTCAAGACCGGGTCCATGCATAATCCCAATTAACTGTTATTCAAATGACTTTTTTATAAACTTCTGAAAGAAAACTGTGTCTGATGTGCATTTGTGCAAAGTAATTCGTACCAATCTTAACCATTAAAAACTCAAGAGCAGAAAGTCAGAAACACTAAATACATAGGTACGCTTTGAGATTGACGAAATACTTTTGAACAAAGAGCTGATAAACTTTCAGTATAATAATACGAAGGTTAAAATGCAAACAGAATCAAAACCACAATCAACTTCCTGACGAATTGTGCAGGAGAGATGATTCAGAAAATTGAAAGATCTTCAGTTCTAAAGAGCCTTGAGAGAAAGCAGGAGGGTTATTATAGCCTAAACTGAGCTAAAAGGGATACCATAAAAGAGACATGGAGTATTATAAGTACCTCCAAACATACTGCACATTGATTACCACGACTAGAAACCTTATATTAAGTCAATGCTTCTTACAGCTTTTAGCATTTTAAAAACCACCTCACAAACTTGAATTTCATAATAATACAAGTTTAGAAGTACAATATGTAACCCAAGGCATTTATCAGGCATAAGACTGAATGATTCCCAAGGCAAACTTAAGATCAGCCCAGCCAGCGTGGTGGTTTGTTAAAAAAATACAATACCCCCACCCAGAAGAAACGTCAGATATTTAACTTCGACAACTAATCGGAGGCAAAACCATCCACAGCATTTATTCAGTCCGTTGCCTTTTAGGGTCCAACCGATCATATGCACTAAAGAAAGGGGCATAGTCCGTCTCCCAACGATCCTTGAACAATTTTGCCTAATTCATTGAAGATGATCATTTAAAAATGAAAAATAAATGCATATGCATACATATTTGTTTAAAGTCTTAAAATAAATAAGGAGATTTTTATCAAACAAACCTTGGTGAGTAGTGAATCAAGGGTTTCTCCAAATCCCATCAAATTGTGTTTATTTCCATTTCCGTTTGTCAAGGACGAAATCTACATGAAAACCACAAGAGTAAGGACTAATCAAATTGAATCACACCATACATTTTGTTTTTGGCCTAAATGAGACTTTATTTACTGATTAATTAATGATATACATACCATACCACACATTTATTGTGTTTCTGCAAGAACTCGTTCCTAATTTGTATCATAGCACGAATAGTAGTGGACATGTCATCCAATGCTGTGAGAGCTCTTTCCACTTTCTCATGCCTGTGGGTAAGTTGAGGAAGCAGCTCATTAACTTCATCATACAGTTCCTCAACCGGCAACATCTTTAGAAGCTGAAATGTTGCAGACACCATGCATCTTAGTTGGCCCAACTAGAGATAATGTAGATATAACTCTATATAGATAGAATGTTACCCTAATTTTCCCTTCAAAGTACTTCGTGGAAATCAAGGGATCCATTGGTTTATTCTCTGCTTCAGCGGATTTCTTAGCATTCCAGAGTTCTTTTTCTAGATTATTAATATCCTCTAGTAGGCTATGCGCAGCACCTTTAACCTTGGTTTCCCCATAAAAGTATAGCTGCCCAAACAAAGAGCTCATGTCCGGAATATTAACATTAACAAAAGGCAGATTTCCGAGAAACTTAGGAACAAAAGTATTTCTGTATACTTCTTGAATTATTGGCTATGATGGCAGACTAGTTTTTTTTTATCTTACCAGAGAATTGACCTTAGGTCCAATGGGGAGAATCTCATCAGTTTTATCCTCTTCCTCTTCCTCATCCCCATTCCCATCCTCTTCATCAACATCATCATCATGACCACCACCACCAACATCATCACATATCTCAATCGCATTTTCATTCTCAAAGTCATCAATCAGGCCATGCTGTACTAGCAGTCTAGCTATTTTCAAATCGGTTTCTTCAAGTTTGGCAACAGAAGCACTTCTTGTAAGCGTAAATGAAATTCCAGACTTCTGAAACAAATAATATATATAACAACAGCAATAATAACAATGGCTATAATATTTTTAACGGGAAAAGTAATTCAAATACTGCAAACTTTGGAAATGTGTGAGCTGAATACCCCAAACTTGAATGTGAGACACAAATATCATGAACTATTAATAGTTATCTTAGCATCATGGATATAGGTTATTTCTGGGAATTCTGGCACAAACATAAGTTTATGATGTGAAGTTCTTGATTTAAATACTACGAAGTTCTGAAGGGTTTCTAGCATTCTAAATACTAAGCTTCTATTTCTGAAATAAATATTTTCAGGTCATTGTGCTGATATTACTGGTAATGTAAACAATATGCCTAGTATTCACTTAAAATGTAAATCCGGGGTATTAAGCTGACACCTAGCTAAAATTAGGGTATTCAAATTATTTTTCTTTTTATTAACGGTAACAATAGTACTACTTAACATAACTCTTATTATGGAATTGATATTTTATGAAAATAAGCATTCAAAAATCAAAATATAAGTATAAGCTTGAATATAAGAACCTGAGATACTCTTGAGAGGTTATCACGGAGTAAATCCAGTAATTTTTTTGTGCGCTCAACAGTGGTAGAAAGAAACACGCACCGCTCGTGTGACCAATTGATTTGGTATAGATAATCCTGCTTGCAGATCAAATCATACAAACAAACAAAGCAGGATAAGCGATCGATTAACCTGTAATCCTGTATAACAAGTCTGCGTTTTTGCCTCTACATTTTCTTCCTATATAGATATAATAAGTAGTACATACATTGACAAGCCGCCACTTGGATTTAAGCTTTTCCTCGAAACCAGCTAGCTCTCTTAGTTTTGGAACACACTCTTCGCATGAACACGCAAGGTGGAAACCAGATTCCGGAGGAAATAGAACACAATTGTGTACTTCTCTTTCAGTCTTTGACGGATCGTAACATAGCTGAATAGCCATGCTTAATACTACGATCTTGGTGGGGGAGGGATGTCGGAATTGGGGCAAAGATATTGACTTTACCAACAAATAAACCAGAGATGAAACTTCATGTCAGGCCGGCCTGAGTGCCTGACGGGCTGCCCCGTCCGGCCGAGCCCGTTTGGGCACCTTCCCGGTGGAATTTTTTGATGAAATTTTTTGAGCATGTTCGTCATCAAGTCTAGTTTGTCCATATCAAATTTCAGCTCAAAATTCGATCGGAAAGGTCGTCAAATGATTTTTGCATGTTAACTGGTCCGGAATATGTATTTTCCGGACCAGTTAACTTGCAAAAATCATTTGACGACCTTCCCGATCGAATTTTGAGCTGAAATTTGGTATGGACAAACTAGACTTGATGAGGAACATGCTTAAAGAATTTCATCAAAAAATTCCACCGGAAAGGTGCCCAAACGGGCTCGGCCGGACGAGGCAGCCCGTCAGGCCGGCCTGATGAGAAGAGCTCTCATGAACCAGATAACACAATTTCAAAACAATCCGTTGCGGTGTTCAAAGGCCTTAAAGGCGCACACGGCCTAGGCCAAGGCGTCAACCAAAAGCCCGGCACACCCAATAGGTGTTATTAAAAGCGGCCCAAATATTTTAAAAACCCGTAGCACTGAAGATGTTTTTACTTTAATTATTTTCAGTTTCAAATCAGACCAGATGAGATTAAATCCAGACAAACAGACCAGACCAAATCAAACCAGACCAGACAGACCAAACCAATGAAATTAGACAAGACCAAACTTGGATAATTATAATTAAAACTCACAAAGACCATACCAGAACAGTTCAAACTAGATCAACCCATCCCAAATTAGACCAGGTCAGAAAATTGAAGTCCAACTAAAACCATCCTAATAACATAAGGCCTCAGGATATATAGTCCATTCAAACGGCTATCAACAAGACTAGTGGAGAGTGGTTGTTACTATTACTACGTATTACTCGAAGGTTTCTTCCCTGACCAGTTTGTCAAGGCTTTGTTAGTGATAATGATAAAAAAACCAATCATGCTCGGACCACCATAAAATAATCTCTAACAAATTTTGTGAAGGATTATTCCATGACGGAGTCCCTACAAATCATTACAATGGTTTTAAATTCACTTTGATAAAAAAACCAATCATGCTCGGACCACCATAAAATAATCTCTAACAAATTTTGTGAAGGATTATTCCATGACGGAGTCCCTACAAATCATTACAATGGTTTTAAATTCACTTTTGTCCCACGTCGAAAGGATAGAAGGACCATTCCTCCCACATTTTCTATATAAACACACCCCTGCTATAATATTTTGTTATGAAGAAGCAAGGCCGGTCTTGACCATTTCTGGGCCTATAGGCGGTACGCTATTTTGGGCCTATGACAGTATACTTATTTGAAATAAGAATTATAATAAAAATATCCAATGAAGTTCATAAAATAAAGTCAAAAATAACTTTATTATTATTTAAGTTACATATTTGGGCAAAAGTAACAACACAAGTATCGGATAAAAAGAAAAAAATCAGTAGAAAATATTTCTCGTAGAACAATATGAAGCAAATAATCAATATCGCTAGCTTCATAGGCAACCTTCTTTCTATTAATACATGACAAATAATAAAATTGCCACATATAACAACACTAAACTTTTTTTTGAAAGGAAATGTGAAAAAAATATCACTACATATTGAATTCATTAGTTGAGAATGATTTATTGACCGTTGATAGGAGTCTAAAGTTTGAAGTCTCGAAAGAATGAAGGTTTTCAAAGAGACAAAATGTATGGCCGCCAAGAACACTCGCGCAAGAAGACTGCCAATTTGACGTCATCTAAACTACTATTAGGAACTCAGATATAGTTTATTGAAATTTGGAAACAAATAAATAATTGGGATGAGATTTGAGAGAGATGGGCTCTAAAATAATTTTATAAATTTGTTATGTTATAATTAATTAAATGAATAAAAAGCCTTAAAGGCTAAAGAGATGTAAAGACTACAATCGATCCTACTTAAAATTAATGTATATATTCTTTTTTTAAACTTGGCTCTGTTTAAAACTTTTTATTTACATTTTAAATTTTCAAATTGTCAACAAAATTAAACATTAGGCCTAATTAACTGACCTTAAGAATTAAAAAAAAAAAAGAAGCCTACTAACACTATACATAAAGAAAAATATTTGGGCCTATTTTTTCTTCTATTTTTTTCCGGGCCTAGGGCGGTCGCCCCTCTTGCCCTCCCCCCAGAACCGGCCCTGTGAAGAAGGCCTTGATAAAGAAGGCTTGATACTCTCATATACTCATATAAGAGTTTATGAGAATTGGTGATTAAATGAGAAAGAAAAGGGAGTGTATTTATAGATGATTGGAGGTTGAATGGTTAGATATCCGATCGGGTATATAGGGTATTCGATCAGGTATTCTTAGTAATAGTTCAGAACCTTCCTAATTTAAATCAAATCATAACCGATCAGGTATGTCTGTTTATGTGATCGGGTATAAGACAAATTTTGTCAAATATTCATCCTACACGTTTAATTGCCTTCCAAATCAGGTTTGATACTCGGGTCAAGTTCATACCCGATCGGGTATATGCGCTGTAATAATATTACAGAATACTCCGTAATAAATAACAATCACAACAAAACAACAATAAGAATGATAATAATAATAATAATAATAATAAATAATAATAATAATAATAATAATAATAATAATAATAATAATAATAATAATAATAATAATAATAATAATAATAATAATAATAATAATAATAATAATAATAATAATAATAATAATAATAATAATAATAATAATAATAATAATAATAATAATAATAATAATAATAATAATAATAATAATAATAATAATAATAATAATAATAATAATAATAATAATAATAATAATAATAATAATAATAATAATAATAATAATAATAATAATAATAATAATAATAATAATAATAATAAATTACAATATCAACAATTATAGTAGTACTACCTTTGTTATAGCTTAAACTTTTCATTTGTATTTTAGGACTTCCCAACTAAAAGTTCATGTTTCTATTGTAAAAAATAATTAGCAATCTTAAATAAGAAATTAAAGGCAGCGGGCGGGGAGTCTCAATGATGAGCACGTTGTCGTGGTGTGCACTCAAAATAATAAATCAATACAACGATTATACGTAGTATAACAAAGTAAAGTTCATATCCACAAGGAAATGAATACTTCTCTTTTTATATAACTAGTAACAAAGGGAGGTTTTTAAGATTGTTGATGAACTTTAAAATATTTAAACACCAAGATGAATGACTTATATGAGTTTAATTAATAGGGATGAAGACTTGGTTTTGCTTTTATCCACTTAATGAAATGTTCGTCGATCCCGATTACATCTTTAACTATCTTCCTCTCGAATACTCAATCGAGGAGTATATCCAATTCATCGAGGGTAGTTATAAATTTAATAACGAGGCGCGTTCATTAATAAATCTTACTACCGAGTCAATATAGAATACGTGCCATATATTAACCCGATAGTAGCAATAAACTTAAGATGAAAACGATTGAGATTGATAACCTCAACACAAGCGGTTTATTAATTTAATCAATATAATTAATTCCCCTTAGATTATTAACCATGAGACGCATGCATTAATAATCCAAGTTTACTACCGTGAAAAGACCGGACGATTAACAAGCATATTCGTCGATCGATTCTAGTAATAATTAATATATGAAACAAAATTAGTTGATCCTTTTGATCCTTTAACTAATGCTCAAAATATTAATATGAAATATGAATAGGAATTAATTAATATTCAAGGAAGAAGATTAAAGAAAATAACTCACAACTTACAATTCATTAAGATTCAAAGTAGCAAAACCAAGATGGAAGAGTTTAGCTCCTCATTTGGAGACTAAACATGACAAAAATATAAAGAAAGTACTTAACTAAAGTGAGCTTAGAAGTGTTTAGGAATTGGTGAATTTATTGTGAAGGAAAGAGGTGTATTTATAGACTTTTGGGAGCTGCAGGGTCACCCGACCGGGTATATAGGATACCCGATCGGGTGTCTTAGGAAATTTCCCAAAAATTCACTTTTCTGGGCATACCTGGTCGGGTAAGTAGGCATATCCGATTGGGTATGTGACAAATCTTTACGAAATATTGCTCCCACAATCTTTTGTTCCCGAATTTGATTTGGACAGTCGAATCAAGTAATTACCCCATCGGGTATAGGCAATACCCGACTGGGTCATGAGTAGTTTTTTCGAATGGAAATCTTTCTTGCCTTCTGGCACTTTCCTTGATTTTTTAAGGTCCAATCTTTGTCCAATTTTGACCTGTTTAGCTCAGAATAGTCCTAATCTAAACAAATTACAAATAATTATGAAAATAAAGTATTACACCAAAAGTGTGTAATTTCCACTACTAGAACTAATAAAAACTAGTTAAAAATACAAACATATAATCAGAAATTACCCTAATATCACTCAACAGGTGAGTATAGCTCAATTGGTAGATAGGAGTGCCACAAGGGTTAAGTACTGAGTTTGAATCCTCACAATTGTGATGTGAGGTTATTGGGTAAAATATGCACAAGGCCTCAATGCAAGTACCTGGATGGGTAAGAACCCTCACTCGATATCTATCAGCTTGTTAGTAAAGTCTAAACTACATGCTCTCAGTTACTGTCTGGATAGTGTTGGGGGACCCTCAGGGATGAAGCGTCATCATTTTTAAGGCGGCGGAGATCAGAAATGCCCCACATAATAAAAAGGCGTGAAAGAGACGTTCAACTGCAAAGTTTGCCACCAAAGTCATGATAATGCGTAAGCCTAGGCGTGAAAAGGTAAAAGTTTTTTGATGTTTTTTTTTTGCAAAAAAAAAAATGATCAAATGTTAAAAAATCATTTTTATAAACATGCTATACCTTGAATTTAAAAAAAAAATTCTATACCTCGAATCTCGAATCTAATAAGGACCGGTGGGCGTAGCTCAACTGGTAGCGAGGGAGTGCCACAAGGGTTAGGTCCCGGATTCGAATCCCGGCAACTGCGATGAGAGGTTATTATGCTAAAAATTCATAGGGCCTCTGCAAGTACCGGGACGGAGCCCCA